AAAAGAAAAAAGTAATTCACCAGTACACAGCCTTTGTGCAAAACAGTTTTGACAGTGTGTGAAAGATATAAAGATGTGTCTTACCTCCCAGGTCTGAGACAGCCGGCTGACAGATGCAGTGTTGAGACCCATAACAATTGCAAAGAATGAATTCAGATTTCTTTGGGCTTTACAGCTGAGGAATAAAAATATGATTTTTTTGTACTCAGAATCAGTGATAAATGGAATGCACACGTATCCTAGGTTACTGAGTCTCATTTCAACCCTCAGCACTAACATACAATCATCTTCCACATAATGAACTCATTAAATGTCCCCTCATAACCACCTGCAGTCTAGGTGATGGGGTCTCTAAGAAGTTTTTTAGAAAACGTTCTACTGTCTCATCAACCCTGTTGTTGGCAGGTTAATTTTTTCCCTTTGCTGTCAAAAGTAATTTTCCCTTTTCAATGTTCAAGTTACTCCCAGCTGTCCTTTACCACACAGAATAATTCCTTGACCTCTATTCTGTTGTATAATAAATATTTTCATCCTCTTTTTCATCTTTTCTATATATTGTACGACATAGGTTACTTCAATTTCTCTTTGTAGCTGAGGCCTGCAATTTGCTTTTCCATACTGTTATTGTTTTTCATTGAATTCTTTGTAATTTATTTTAACTCATATTTAACTCTTATTTCCTTCACTACTTTCTCATGTAGTGAGACAGTGGGGAGGGAAGAAGAAATATAATTACTGTTCTATGTTCTTATGCAAGCATAAAACAAACAGCAAATTATTTATTTGGAACAACATCACATTTTGTCCTTTCTTTTAATTTGTCATCTATTATCACCCAAGGACCTCTGTCACAGTGCTGTTCTTTACAATCATGCATTTATTTCTTCAGCTCAGTATTAGTATTCTGTAGCTGAATTACTTGGCATCTATCTAAATTAAATCTTATCCTACTGTTGTTTGCACATGCCACTAGACTCCTTAGATAATTTTTTTTCCTATCTATCCTCCAATGCATTGGCAATCCCTCATCATTTTTGTTGTCTGTAAATCTGGCTAGTGTTCAATTTACATATGCCTATAAACCAGTTGCAGCTTTCCAGTACAGGTTCCAATGGAATTTGCTCGATACCTCTATTTTTTGACATTTTACTGTATACAATCAGACGATGCTTATTTCTAATCCATTTTCTAATTCATTAGGAAACTTGAAATCCTGAAATACTGAGTCATTTTAAAACAAAAATATTGCCCTGTCTCTTACAGATTTTTGCAGACCATACAAATACATGGGTGCATTTGTGTGCCAGAGTGTGAATCCTCTTTTAAGGCAATTTAAAGTATGAATGAATCCACTGGGTTCACTGGGATTTATCATCAGGGAAAAGTACATGCCAAGGCCTTAGCCTGGAAAATGGCCAGAACTTGTTACAAGTTTTATAAAGCCTGCCTTTATCACTGTGTACTATCTTGAGACTGGGTATTTCTCACTTCACTTCAGCTGTCTTCAAGTTAATCCTAACTTTGTTGCTTAGATTCTTTTTATCATTAAAGCCAGGCAGCTCCCAAAGGAAGGTGTCCAGTGCAGCCTGCAGAAGTGGTCTGTTGGGTGAGCCCACTCCTCACAGCAAGCTGTGGAGAGAAGGGATGTCTCTCACAGCCAGCCTCTGCTTGCCTGGGGAGCCAAAAGGCTGCTGTTGTAATCTGTTTCTTCTAACCTTACATTGACTTGTCTCTTTAGCTCCCCAGGATGTTTTTTTCTAATAACATACCAATTAATTTTGTTTATTGAACCACTTGTCTTCTCTTTTAGACTACACATCAACAGAAGCTTATGGATTTGTTTTTCAAAAACTCTGTCTCCCTTTTTTGTATTGACACACTTGCATAAAATGTGTTCCTCAGCACCAAAGCACACAGATGATGAACATGAAATCTGAGTCCTGGTGGCTTCCTGACCAGACAGATTCCTGGGTGATTCTGTGAGCAGAAAACAGGGAGCAGCAGAGCTGTTCATAGTTCCCTACCTCTCTGCCTAAGTCATAAACAAAACAGGAGGGCTGCTTGGTTTGTCTCATGATGTGTTTAGCACACCACCCTTCCACCCTAATTTTTCTTCTCTCATCACCTCTTCCAGAACTGATGAGATACAGTGGTTGTTCATTTAGAAAGCAGCTTTTATGATGAAAATAAAAATGTCATGAAAGCTACACACTCTCTTATTTAATCACCTACATTCTCCAGTAATGGATGCTTCTGCAATACATGGGGAAAGCCTATCTACTGTTTACTGACAGCTGTATTTAGTCTCCATAACTTTGGCTTTTCATTAACAGAATGGGATCAATGAAAATAGAGCAAAACTTTAGTCTGGTAACGAATATATTCTTATTCATGTAGGACTGACAGAAAACTTTTCTGGGATGCAAATTAATGCGGCAATGGTGCACAAGGCACATGGAACTAAACATTTTTTGGTCATTGATATGGCAGAAAATGAACATATTACTGGATACCACACAACTTGCAAACTAAATTGGATCACATTTATGAGTTACACTAGATTAGATTAGAAGAATTAATTTCTCTAAAGGCACTGCTTCAGCAAAGAACAGTCCTTTGTATGTAAGTGCCTTGCAAATTAAATCAGCCCAGCCGATGAAGGGAACAATTTATACATTTTCCACAAACATGCATATTCAAATATTGCAGAAGACCAACAAGTGGAGAGAGAGGTGAGGAGCATGACTGCACATATTTAAATTGCTCCATTTCCTTGGTTACTAAGAGAAAGAGTGATTACAGAGAAATCTCTGTGTATAGTATATATTTGTATTCTGTTGCAAGACATAGAATAAATGCCAGTAATGTTTTGACCAGGCTCTGCTGTTTTTATCTATGGACTGTTTTATTTAGGTACACTTACTACACTATCAAAGCACAGGATAACAAATTCGTTTTCTTTCCTTGCTTCTCTACGTATTTCTTGCCAAACAAACCATGTGAATTCAAGGATTTCTGTTGTAATGCCAGCAACTTACTGGGCAGCAATCTTGATGAACTTTTTCACTAGCTGCACACGTTTGCAGAGCTGGCTACAGAGGAGTATCTCGGTGGCAACCCAAAGCTGGACCTCATTGCATCTCTGAAGCAGAAGACTGAGATTCTCAGTATTTTCAGCACTTCCCTGTCTGCTGAACGTGAAGTATATCAGCTCTTGCTGGAAGACATTGACAACACCATTACGGATATAAAAACAATTTAAATATAAATGAACTGTAAATTATTTAAAACTATGTTTTTGAAACAAGGTCTGGTCACAAATGGTTATTTTTTCATTATCCATGAGCCAATCACAATTGGTTCAGGTTAAGTTTAGCAAAATCCAGAGACTTATTACATAAGGCAGGTGGACTGGAAATCCTGCAAGATATGGTCTTCTTGTTAGAATTCCCAAGGTTCCATTTCTGGCTATAGCCAGGTATGAGACATAAACAATCTATTTCTGCATTTTATCACTTCTGTTCCAGTATGAAAAATCAATCATATCAAACTACTGCAGAATCTGAAAAATTTCTATTCAAATTTGTTTCTGTATTAGCCAATTTTTAACCAATAGACATATGGGTCTTGATTTCTGTTAAAAAAAATCCCAAATGTGGCCAGTTTCAAATGTAAAGTGTCTAAACTGAATAAAACAACCCAAAATGAAAGAAAATGAAAGTATCTGGTGAAAAGCAAGGTAATTTTGCATTCATTTTCTCAAAAAGCCAAGATGCTTTTCAGTAAATGGTATTTTCAAGAGAGCTTTTCTACTGTTATCTGTGTGTTTTACTGAGCAACCCAAACCAGAATCTATCAAAGTCATTGAAACAACCCAATGGGCCCTGAAGTGCACCATTATCTCATTTAATAAAGCCTGACCAGTACTTTTTATCTCACTGAAGCCTAACAAGAACAGTAATGTGACCATCTAAATTGCTGAAGCTGTGAATTTTTTAGTGGCTAAAGTGATATGCAAGACAACTGTTTCTGGAATCCCATATTTACTGGGATGCTATCAAGTGCATAGGACATTTTGCATATGTAATACATTCGCAGAGAGGGTTTTTAGAATACAATCATGGTCTTTTACTCTTTTGAGGCTAATCTCAATAAACACATCAGGTATACAGGGAACATATGAGATGCCTGAACAAAGGAAAGTTACAGACCTTTGACAATTCTTTTCAGTCTCAAAGATTTATCGCAAGATAACTCTTGGACCTGTGACCACTACTGGGGAGCTGCCAAATCATGTTGTTATGCAAGTGAAGCAAGCACCCAGGAATACCAATGCTCCAAAATGCATCATGATGATTCAATGCTGCATGACAGTAATATACCTGGAAGTGGATGTGGTGCTTCTTACCTCGTGAATTGCATTGAAAAGGCTCCAGTCAAAGTTTGTTAGCTCTAAGGCAAGATCCCAGGTGTTAATTCCCAGAATCCTCACAGATCTCTGCTGCAATTCTTCATTTTCAGAAAATGGGCTCTAAATGAATAGACGAGCAAAACAATTCCTCAAGAAATGCCAAAGGTTTTGCAATGAAACAGTTACTGGACTAAGGTACCAAACAGAGCTGAGTGGGTAATCTTCTCTAAGTGCACTCTGAGGGCTTTTTTCCCCACTAATCAAAATGAAGGAGCTATAACCTATTTAATAAATCACTTGAAATGGGAAATGGGTCAATAGGATCAATGATTTGCTTTGGAGAGTGAAGCCTTCTCCCTTTCTCCTTCTCTCTCCCTCTCCCAACCTGGAATATAAAACACTGGCCAAGCAGACAGCATAAGGAAAATAAAATCCCTCAAACTATCAGAAAATAAAATCTAAATTAATACATCAGTGAATTTTCTGATATACAACAATCATTCTGAAAACACATTGGATTAAGAATAAATACACATAACTTGATCTTCAGTCCACTTTTACAAATAACATAAATCCATATATTTTATGATTAATCTACCCCAAATGTAATCAACGAAGAGTAAAACGTTGTGGGTTCTGATTCATGGAAGTTATTTAGTATATTGCTGTGGAGTGTGGTGGTACTGCTGGTATTCAGAGTCATTTGACATTTCCATTATTAGCTGGGATTTTCAAAGTTTTGCACTTCTTTTGGCTTTTTTAACCTCATCAGTCTGAAACTTGGCGCATGAACCATCTGCCAAGATGAAAGATTATTCTTACCAGTTAAACCATTACTTTGATGCTATATTTCAGACAGTTACAGCAAGTTTTGCAATTTTTATTATGTAACTAATGAAACTAGGTTGGCTGTCACCTGTCTACACTGGAAACCTTCCCTTAATATTCACATTTTTAGAAATGGCTGGAACGCCAGAGATAATGGGGATGACAGATTACAATCATGGCATGTCAGCTCTTCAGGGCACATTGATCCAACCAAATGCAAATAGACATTTCTCATCCTGAGGATGGATGCACAGATCCTAGAGGTACTGACAACATGTAGAAGTCAGCTGCAATGCAACCCCTACTCTTTCCTGGAAACATCTGCATAATTAGGAGAAAACTACTGGAACACCAAAGTGCCTGAGTGTGCCTGCCTCACTGAGGTTTTGGGAAAGTGTGGAGGGAAGGAGGCTGCAATCCTGGTTTCTGGAGACAGAGGGAAGGATGAGAGAGATCTGCTGCCTCTCGATGCACTGACCTTCCCAGCGCCAGCGAGAGGATGGAGAGACAGACAGGCAGAAGGAAAGGAGGAAGACACACCCCCAGTGGTACACACCAGCTGGCCTCAACATAGGGGTAACACTGATGGGTCTTCTGGACATCTATTTCAACATGGAAATTCCAGGGAATTCATCCATCACTTTGTATGGTTATGCACCAGCCAAAATGCTACCGAGTCACAAGGCAGGGCAGGGAGGAAAGAGTCACAAGAGCCCTGAATAATCCTTATCCCATCCATTCTGGTACAAACACAAGTCAGCTTTTCCAGGCTGAAGTAGATTGCAAGATTTAAACTGCAGAGAAGCTTTGGTTTATTTAAAACTGACGAACAAATTCCATTACTGTTCAGTCAAATAACTGCTGTTAATGAAAGATTTTTTTTCTTTTAAGGAATAGAGCAGCTCAGTAAGCTTTATTAAGGAAGCAAAAAAAAAATCTGCATTGGAAAAGCCCTCTGAGAGGAATACTAAGATTTTGATTTGGAGTCAGACAAACAAAAAATGGGAAATATACAATACCAATCCTTACCAAAGAATCAGTCAGATCTTTTCGGTATACAAACATACGACTGGATGACTCCAAAGATTTTGAGATAGCCAAATCATTTGGTTGTAGCTCATGTTTTTCTGTAAAAATAGAAAAAAACCAGAAGTTTCAGAACAGGAGTATAAGCTGTATATGAGAAATAAAGGCACAATTGTATTTGTGAAGCCACATCAACTTCTTAGAAGGTAACTAAGCATCAAATTCAGTCTCCGTGGGGACCAATCATCTCCACCCTGCTCAGGCAAGATAAAGACAAGATATCTCTGATGGACTAGAGCACAAAAGTTTCCTGCTTCTGCTTTCAAACTGCACTTCACATAGAACAGAAAGAAACCCTGAAATATTCTGGTCTAGCCTCCTCTGCCTTACAGAACACTTAATTTCAACCCAGTATATCTAGTATAAATGTAGTGAATTTTGTTAGAGCAGAGTGTCTCAGCCTCCAGAGACTGAGCTGTTGTGTGTCACTGGAGACAAACCCAGAGGTGAAGATTAAATCAGTAGCCACAGCCACTGAACAGGAAAAGAAGTTTAAAGGATCCCATCACCATGAAATTCACCCCACAGAGCAGTAACACAGTATTTATGGTAATTTTTCTAGACTTAGAACAAACTTAAGAAATATCTGAGTAAATGAGCAGGACACTGGTAGCAAAGGACTGTTTTTCCTTCAGTCCAGAGTACTGGTTCAGCTCTGCATAATCTTGAATGAACTAGAGAAAGGTGGGGACAAAAATAAAGCAAAACTCCAAACACAGCTTAAAAACTGCCCTGCAAAAACTGTCACTTCTTGTGGGCTCCAAGTAATCCTCTGGAGACCTGATACATAGTAGACCCAAAACTGCCAAGAACACTGACAGCTACCCTGTACTCTGCATTGCCCATGAGGAGTAGGACCAGGAGGAGCCTGAGAACCAAACATAATTTCAGACATAATTTCAGTTTTCCCTTTTATCCATGCTCACTTATCTATTGATACACAGATACATTATTTAAAACTGAACTAAAATTATGTTTTTTCAAGGTCATTTTGAATAAATAGCTTGCTTATCCATTATTGGAATACAATAAAAACAGGTTCTCTAATGCTCATACTGGTGCCCTCCAAGTGGATTAAAGACAAGAGTTTTAAGTCACAAAAATAGCAAAAACACAAAGCAGAAAAAAAAAGCATAGCTGTTTGGTGTTTATTACTTGCAGTACAGGATGCATAAGAAGAAAGCTACTGAGATTGTTGTATTTCAAATTAACTCAGGCAATGTAACTAAATAACATTTTAGGGGTTATAAAGGTCATGTACAAAAGGCTTTCCTACTATACCTGCATTTTATTTACTATTTCTCATTGAACAACCGAGTGGCAACCACACTTCCATTTTGTGGCTTTCTTGGGAACCAATATAGTATATTTCATTATTTATGAATGGTTGGTTTTCTTTAGCTAAACAGGCAGTTAGAACCAGATTTATTGCTATCAGAGCAAAACTTGACCTGCTCTTGAACAGGAGAGAAAGATCTGAAAAACAACAGCAGCAGAGTGATTTTGCAGTGCTGTAAAATGCACTGGAGGTCAGTTTGGGCACACACAGGGGTAAAAAGAGTATGCCTGAAGATGATGTAGCCTGGATGGCCAGGACACCCATGTGTAATTCTCCTAATGGCTGCTCTGTGCCCAGGCTCTCAACAACCAGAGCAGGGCACCATCTCCGTGACGCCCACACCAGTGCACTCAAAACCACGTGTATTAAATTGAGCTTAGCGTGGAGGAAAAAAGATGTGACCCTCCAGGTCTGAATCAAAGATATAAACAGAACAAACCACCACTTGTTTGTATTTAATTTAACTAGACTGACAAAGAATTAGCAATGAGTGCTGTAACTTAAGACTGATCCTTTGTCTTAGGGGGTCAACACCAACTAATGCTATCTGAGAATATTGCCAAGATAGTCCACACTCTTAGTCCTTTTGTAGATACAGCTTCACGGTTCTATGCACCTACTTAAATTGCTTCCAAAAAACACCACAACGATCAAAACAATCTGACCAAGGAGCTTGAGATCTGCCAAAGACCAAAGATCATCTTGGGACTTCGGCTGGTCCCTAGTAACACTCCATGATCACTCTAGTCTTTCTTAAAAAAGAAAAGAAGCCGTTCTATTTAATGACTAACACTAAAGCAATAGGAAAAAGATGTCAGTTGCTGCTTACAAAATACTGCTGGCATTGCTCCTAGTATCTCAATTGTGCAAATACATCTTCCTCCTTTCAGCTCAAGAATATTTGTTACCTATGCCATAAATGAGGAAACAGCTATGCATATTTTATTTGCTATTCCCGTCTCTATTTTCAAGGCAAACCACGCCTCATTGCCTTCAAAATTAATTTAAATTCTAAAATAGGAGATTCATCTGTGAAAAAGAAATAAAACCTTGCAATACTGCTGGAGACTGAGAGTTCTTTACACTCCCTTCCCAGCCAGGAGATGCTACATCCCACAGTACCCAAGAAAGAGCTGTTGCCATGGAAACAAGTCTCTGGGAAGCAGCTCCTCATTGTTCCCCTGGTCATCCAGCTGTGGGCCCACAGAGGAACAGCTGTATCCTTGCATCAGAAAATGCCAGCCCTCCTTTACCTGATGTACTAAAAGTTACTTACCACCAGAGAATGACACTGTCACCAGTGCCAGCTCCTCCTCTGGGTACTGGATCTTTTCAGCCACAATCTTCAGAATCTCCTGAGCTGAAGTCGACACTTGAGCTTTCACACTGACATAGGAGTGCTCTGTTATATACACACGGCAGAAAACTGCACAAAGGAACAAAGACATGCTCAGCTGTGGGCAGAGATACCTGAACAGAGCAAAGAACAAACTTGCAGACCCTACCACAGCAATGCCTCAGCTGCCTGGCTGCTGCAGGAAGGGCAGTCACTGTGCCCTGACACAAAGGACATGAAACTAAGCATAAATATCACCGTTTTTCCCCTCCCCACCTCCTGTCCCTGGGAAATGAGAGAGGCAAGCAAATGGAAACAGACTCCCATGCAATATCTATTTAAGACTTCCTACCCTGAGAATTTGTCACAGACACCTTCCTTCACAGCCTATCTTTTCTGAAACTCAGCTGTTGCCATCTTTTCTCCCTTCATTTTAGGTTCAGAAAAATCACTGCCCTTTCGGTATACTTAATGTCTGCTGCAGAAGTTATTTTGGACCTCCATTTCTACCTGGAACAGGAAAATTTGCAGGAACAGTGCTCCCAGGTTTTCAGCCACTCCTGATAGCTTACCTATCTAGACATCTAAACTACTTGCATTGCCAGAGTATTTCAGCACCAGCAGAGACTGCCCAAACTGCCACACAATCAGTTCTGACAACTCATTTCCTGAATCACAAGCAGCACATATAAATGGAACTGGTTTGGAGAAACTCCCCAGGCTCACTACTTCCACTGACGTCCATGAGTTGGTTCAGCTCTGGGAATGCTGCGGTCAGCTCAGCGATTACTTTTTTCTGCTACGAAAAGGGGATGCACACTCTTTCTGCCTGCCAGAATTTTAGGTTTACATCTTTTGCAGAGTTTGCCCTAGCTAGTTCTTTGAAATATGGCTGCCACACTTAAGCAGAAGAAACTGAGCTGCAGACTTGCATAAATATTTTGAAAATTACATCTGCTAATCACAATTGTCACAGCTCTTAGTTTCACACTCACTTCAGTGCTCAATTAAACTTTCAATTTCCTTCTCCTCTAGCACTTCTTACTCTAGACAGGCTGCTACCATGCCAACACAGGACAACTCTTCTTCTCCAGAACTGCTGTATTTTTTTAATTCTCTTTATTGACAGATGTATGTAGCAATAGCTCTTTGCTTGTCCTACAGATTTCATGGCTTTAGGGCACTTTCATTAGCGAAGACTATGCCAGAAGCAGTTAAGAACTCTATCAAGAAAAGGGATTTTTTCCTGCCGTAGTAAAGAAAAAAAACTGAATATGAGAATGAAGGGGGAACTTAACTGAGTATTGGGGAAAAAAAAGCCATTTTATTTTTAATTCCTTTTTAACCTGTCTCTGCTGACAGAGAGTAAATGAGATGCTCATTCTATGACAGAATCTTTTATCAGAATTGATACACATCATGAAGATAGAGACATCCAACTGCACTTTAAATTGCAAGGTAGAAAAATATCTTTCAAAAAATCTGACAGGAATATTTGGACTCCATATGCAGATTGACACACCTTGCTTACAGCAGATTTGTTTGAAATGTCCTCTCTGTCATTTACAAATGGACAAGGACAGTGATGTCATTTTATAAATGGGCTATTGATTTATCCTTCTTTTAGCACTAAACTAAATCAACCCACAGGTCAGATGCTCATGCACAACCACCATAGTGATTCTCCCCCTCACACCTTTCCAACGTTCTATCTGTGGTATCTCTTGGGATGGACCACATCATCTCTTCCAGGAGCCTGTGCTGCTCCTCTGTCAGAAGGAGGAAATGCCAGAGGGAGGAAGTGGCCATGGGCTGAAAGCTACCCTGGTGATGATTGCAATAGAGGAGCTGCCCTGGTGATGATTGCAATAGAGGATAAAACACCTCTGGTCAAGTGGCATAGTGCAGCTTGGACAGACCCAATCTCCACAAGCACCATCAGTCAGACAGCATTCCACCACACAGGGTTAGATGTCCACCCTCTGCATCTGTCTCTCTCCTCCCCAGCTTCACTCTGGCTATTTCGTTACTTCAACCCCATCATAGTCCATGTCTCCTACTCTCAAGGAGTGAGACAAAAGCAATTTAACTCAGTCAGGAGTGGTTTTGCTGGTCCTGTCCTATCACAGTCTGTTCCCACTCTTGCACCAGGACACTGTCCTTTCCAGTCACCCACAATCTGTGTCCAGCTTTGAAAGAATAATGAATGTGGGGGGTCTCATCCACAAATAACATTTTTAGAAGCCTTAGTAACATAAACCCAAAACCCCCTACATTTGAAGCACAAAAAGAGGATTATCTATCAGCAGCACATACTGTGCAAGCCTTTCGGCTTGCTGTAGAACAAGCTCAATTTTTATTCTGTCACAAATGAACACTAAAAATACACTGACTTCCAGTTTTGCTCTCAGTAAGAAATGAAGATCTACTGTCAAAGAGCAAGACTGCCAGGCAGGAGTTCCTTCTTCCGTTTCCTCCTTGTGTACACAGTGTTCTCCTCTCTGCCTCCTTCCTTGCTCAGGCATTGCAGGAGGGTGACAGCCTTACAGTGCTAGCAGTGATGGAGGGAAATTGCCTTTTGAAATGACTGGCATTAAAGTGAAGTGGCACCTCGCACTCCATGCAGAGATGATTTAGAGCAGAGAAGGAACTAAGGCACATTCCCAGAGTTAGCAGATCCTGGCCCATTTCATGTGACAGGCTTATTCATTCACCTTTCACAACTGAGATGTAGGTCAAGAGACCAAGAGCATGAACTGGAGCAGAAGTAAAGCACGGTGGATGGGCTGCCAGCACACCTGGGATGTGACAGGACTGTGAAAGGGGTGTTGGAGGAACTGGACAGGGCAAAAAACCCTTGAGATACCATGGCACTATCGAGCCCTGCAAACCAGGAGCAAGGAAGGTAAACTTGCCAAATTTTCTTCTTTTGTGCCCCTAAGGTCTTGTTCAAAAGTTATATGTCAGTTAAAGAATATTTACATTGAAGTCCTTGAGAAACAATTGTATAGCTTTTAGGTTTTTCCTCTACTCTTTCATTTATACTCACTTTCTTCTGTTTCATTCACAGTTCCTCTGTGTTGCAGCCAGTTCTCCTTTACACTGAACTGCTGGAAAAAGGTTTTGTTCTGTGAAGGAGTGGAAAAGAAACAAAGGGGAAAAAAAACCACTGAGTTTTCATATCCTTGCTGTTTACAAAGCAGTAATTCACAGAATACAGCATTCAACCCATATGTCTGGCCAAAAGGTTTCTGTATAGGAAGTACACCCACCCATTCTTGGAGCAGTAAACTGGGAGTTGCCTTACTAAATAATGGCCAAGGTGGGGATTTTGGAGGAAGCAAGACATGCCAAGGCTAAGCAGACTGCACAATTCAAGGTTTTCAGTATTCATGTTCAGAGCCCATTTCTTACACACTTCTTAGATACATTTCCTATGTACCAATCAGCCTATTTAGTAATTTCACTACAATCTCATGTTCTGCCTTCCACATTTTGCAGGAACATTTTAAGCTTATTACACACTTCAGCTTCAGCCCAGTAAAACTGACAAGCACAGCAATTCACCTCTGAGGAGTTTGTACACCAACTTTCTCTGGCTGCAACTTCTCCCTCCAGTGAAACAGATAGATTCATGATCCTCTCTTTTTGTCTGTCACTGTCACAACAAATCCGCCCTATGCTCTGTTTACTTGCCATCCATGTCAATGCCTGTGTTCAGCCCAGTTTGCCCAGCTTGCTACATCCCTCTAGCTCGGTGAGGACACCCTCCCAGGCCTCTCCTGAATTTTGACATCTCAAAGCATCTTGTTAACATGCTAATACTGTCATAACCACTGCAGGTTAGCTCATATTGTCAACCTGCAGGATGCACTCAAAGAAAAATAAATTATTCCTTAAGCAGCACTGCAGGTCTAACCTCACTGATGTGTCTTGTCATGTTTTTGGTCACTAGTCATGTTCAGTTAAGGAGCCAAGAAAAGAGAGAGAAGTGGGCAGAGAGGGAAAAAAAAAGTGAGGTGGTATGTTATCTAGCTGCCAGCAACAATCAAGTTTGCATTACCTTTCGATGAGGTGAATACTCATCTACAGTGCTGAAACAAAAAGGAAAATTACAATTATTCTTTCCAGCCAAAGCTTAGGAAAAGGAAGTTTTAGCTATAACAAACTTTACAACATCAGAAGGTTTTTAACAGCAAATGGTCACTGAAGAAAGGCTGCAGAGGTTCTTCAGGAAAAACTAAAGGCATCTGACTCAGCCAGAGAACTTTCCTTGGACTTGCATAATCAAGGTAGTAAAAAGCAATGCTGCCAGCTGTTGGAGTAGGCAAACACAGCATTCAGTGTCACCCTCAAGGGCACAGCTCCTTCCATTTCCCCAGTGGCCAAACCATGGAAACAACCTCCATTTGTTGGAAAAACATGCCAATTAAATATCTTTTATAGATGATATAATTATTAGTAACATAATAACTCTGAGATGACTATGCCAAGTTATTTGCTTTTCAGTACTACAGAGAGAATGAAGGTACCATCTGAAGTCACAGACTGTAGCTTCTGAGGAAATTTTTGCCAGCTTCTCCACAAACCATTGCTTTGTCTGTAAGTAATTCCAAATGAAACTGATGGGAGCCAATGTTGAATCACAAACATATCCCAACAAGCATCAAAAAAACCTGAATAATCTAGCTTTAGTTTTAAGATGAGATGATTTGTAAAACTGAATATGCCACTTGTATCACTTATCACTGTACTGAATTATAGAGAGTTAGCAACAAAAACAAATTACACTCTGAATAAAAGACTTGATCACTAACATAATCAATACTTACTGACGGCGATGCATCCCAAGTATCTTCTGAAATTCTTTCAGGTCCTTCTCAAGAACAGGATACTCATACACATCATCTAACACATTTCTGTATATTGTCTACAAAACAAAGCAGTATCTTAGAACACCTGACAACTCAAACATTAATCTAAGGCATCACATCAGTCTAAGTCAATTCAGGCACTATCCTACTAAAACAGGATATCATTATACTTATGCAAAAACTGTAAGGAGAGAATGTGCCTGTTCAAATTTCCAGACAGGTCAATACTTAATATTCTTTGGAGAAACACTCTTACTTAGTACTGTGTACCAAGTGAAAAGGCAAAATGCTTGTACTATTTTGTCTGTAAACAGGAAAATTTAAAACACCACTTGAAGCTATTGCATGAAACCTGGGTTAGGTCAGCATAACACATTCTGAAGCATAACAGCACATCACACCATCACCACGTATCCAAAATGATAACAGACCATCAGATAAGGACTTTTAAAATTGCAAATATTCTACTTTACCTTTCCTCACATTTGCATGTATTTTAAACTGAGTTGATATCTCCCACAAACTCTCCCTAGCTGCAAACTACTACATAAATAAACCTTACTTTTAATTTTGGAGGAAGACGTTGTCATGACTGAAATTCTAGGAAATATTTTCTCTACACTTTTTCTACATCTGCACGTAGATCCTTCCCTTTCTCTTCTAAGGAAATGAGGATCACATGCATGAGCTGAGTCACCAAGTTTGCTTTAGCCCCCACATTCAAAGATTTCTGCATGAATGTTTTCAGCCTATGACCCTGTATGCTGGTTTTGCACATGTAACTACAACCATCATTAACATTATTATTGTTTAATACTGCACACAAGCTTCCAGAAGAGGAATTGTGAGACAGTGAACAGTCACATGCCTCCATGGCCAGAAAGCCCTGCATCCAGACAGGTGCAACTCAGTGTGACATCACTGATGCCTGAAATGATGTCCCCTTTCCAATACAGCAATACACATCTAGTACCAAAAAGCAAAAATTCTAAGGTTTCTGCTTCCCTATGCAGTGTGTCCTACCTAAAAAACAAAACAGAACAAACAAAAAAAAAAGGAATCTCCAGATTTTCACTCTGTGAGTGTTTTTTCTTTTGAATTATTAAATGTTTGTTTTTTTTTCTTTTCCTAATAAATTTCCTAATGTATTTCTGACTTGGAGTATCTCACTGGTTTTGCTTTCTAACCAGAACAGGCATTTAAAGGAAACACATATAAATCATTTTATATTATAGATTTCATGGAGAAAATCTAAGTATTAAAAAATATGTTTTATAGATTTTGCTGTGGGGGCTTTTTAAACACAATATATAATTAAGCAGTGCTGAAACACATCACAGAAATTGTTTCAATACCTTTAAAAATTGTTTTAAATGCTCATCTTCATGTAACCAGTCTTTGTAGAGAGAAGTCCACTGAGACACCAAATGCAAGACTTTTCTTTTCCTACAGGACACATCAGAGTCGTCTTCTTTGCCTTGGTGGTTCTTAGCACAATAGGTGCAGTAGGTTAAGGAACATATAATAAGATCTCAAAGAAACTTTAAAATTAACTGCTGGCAAAGACTTTTCAATATTCTCATTTGCTAATGAAAGGGTTTTTTTCACTGCATTGCTCCGTTTTAAATGTTTTATCCTGTCTGGAGCTTTAGGAGTTTCATAACTTTGGGAATGAAACTCTCAGTAATAGGAATTTCAATTCATCCTCTGTGGCAACAGGATTTTTTTCCTCTTACAGATTAGAGAGATGAGTCTATAAAAATAAAATCAATTCCAAAGAAATTACATAATGTTCAGTCGTATCTTTTCTGCAGAACTGAGAATGAATCTTTGCCCTGCACACCGATACCAATGTGAATGTCTATGGGAAGAATGGAAAAGCATAACAGTAATACAAAAAATAGGCAAAGGAAGTCAGTTTCTTTTTGTCTGCACAAATTGTACTATCTGCAGAAGTGACTCTATTAATTTTTTTTTAAAATTTAAAATTTTTTTTAGAAGTGCATTTTATTTCTACCATTGCTTTCTATTAATGAGGCAGAAGCACCAAATGTCAGATGATACCCACTTTAGACACTTGCTCCAAGGGAAAAAAATTTATGGTTTCACCACAAAATTTAAAGATGGGGAAAAGATTTTAAAAAAATAAGCAAACAAAAAAACCAGAAGGTTCATTTTATAGCCCCAAGTTTATTCAAACATTGATCCATAGCTTCATAGCTTATCCAAGTCATTAGAAATACATGAAAATAATTATTTTATCTCAGAATGAGTTAAGACTTACATCCTGTACCACATGATAAAAGGAGTGGAGACTGTAAAATTGTTTACATTTTCTGCTTGTGTATTCTGTAATATATTATGCACATACAGTATTCTATGAATTAACATAATCTGGGGAGGTTTTAAATTCTACCTTGTTACAGTTATAGAAGTTTATTTATCTTCAAACAAAGCTGACATAAAATTGCATTGTTGCTATGAGTTAGACACCTGTCTCAAAACCAGGCATGTAGCTTTGATATAAGGCACAACAATAGATAAAAGTATGAATAAATGTGTGACCCCCATGAATACAACCTTCAGTAAAAGGATATTGCCTTAGAAGGGCCTGGCACAAGTCATCAGTCGTCATGAAAACCGTGTATGTGAGAAGGAAATCATCCAGGAGAGTTTCTGCAGAGGAAGACAAAAAGCCCCAGGTACAATACATTAGCAAGAGCAAGAAGAAAGTATCTACTCCTGTTACTGTGCATGGCAGGAACAGGACACTTGCCCTTAAAAAAACAGCCCAAAGAATACAGAATACATAAACTTTTAAGTTTCAAAAAGTTCACAATATGTTGCTGCTGCAGAGATCAGTCCCTTTACTTATCAAGTACATTCTCAGCTCTCAAAGCACCAACAGGCACAAGTATGCACAAAATAATTCATCATAGTTCAGAAACCAGCCAGAAAGAGTCCTTATAACAAACACTGCCATCCTAGTTAGCTCAGCTGCACACAAAGCAGCCTTTCCACACATTCATTTGTTCTGGAAATTCAGAAGAATAGCATTTAGTAATAAAAGAAAAAAACTAGGATTGCCATAAACTGTGATTAACATCTATGCACAGTCACTGAGAACCATGAAATAAATATATTCAAATCTTTAGATGGTTGGTTAGTCTTTTCGGCGTCACTGTAAATGCTGAGAAGTTTTCTCTAAGGTTTGTTCAATTGTATTAATGAAGGTTTTTTCTCCTCCTGGTTTCTATCAGTGTTAGAAAACCAGGCTGAAGGTATTTGCTAACAGACTATCCCTATGCACAGAAGATGTAGCACCTCAGGTTGTCAGGACAAACCGACAGATTAGGATTTCAGTGTAGCTTTTTCATTCCTCATTCCTCTGTCACACTTATTTTTAGGATTTCCCCAAACCTTTACTGCACAGATCACTGGGGTGAAAGCACTGGATTTTCTCTTGTGTGATAGGGCTCAAGGAAATCTCATGGTGGTCTTCACAAACCCAGTGGCAAAATAGAGGTAAGACCAAGCCAGACTTTTCCTGGAGGTGTGCTACAAAATTATATGGGGCAACCATCAGAGATAGCAACAAAATAAATATTTTCTAGATTAAAGTACTTATTTTTTCCTCCTGTGAGGAGGCCCAACATGACAGGTTACCTGCACAGTGTCCAACATCACTATATTCAGGGCTTGCCTGTGCAAACCTCTGAGCATCCTGGTCTAAGTGAAGCTGCTTCCAGCATGAGTTGGACCCAGTGGATTCACAGCTCCCTTCCAAATCAAATTATTATAAAATTTTTAAACAAAATGGATTCCAATTTTACTAAACTATTCATGCACGATGCACGATCTAGAGTATTTGGTTCACATTTCATCTTTATTTCAAACAGACAATGTAATTGGTCTTTGTAACCACAAAATAAAAATGTTTCTTTTTCCTTCTCTGGTTTTGGGGTGCTTTTTTTTTCCCAAAAAGTAAGATTCTCCTCAAGGTTTGAAGGATTCCTTTTCACTGTATTTCTTTTAATTTCAGAAAATACGCTGTGTTTCCTTTAACAAGAGAACAGCTCTGGTTTTTTTCAGATAAGAACAGAAACATAGGCAGAGGCTGAACAATAAACTAAGTGATTTCAATTATATTGTAGAGCAAAACATATTTTACCAGTGTTACTAGCTGATATTAGTTAGCACCAATTATACTAAGTTGTGATTTAAGTGGTAGATTTACAACTGGATTTACACTAAGGGCCAAACCACACCTTATGTAAGAAAGACAAGGCTGAGCCTTGATTTCCATATCCTGAATTTCTCCCTAATTTTTTGTGATCTGTTCCAGTCCAAGCTAGTGCTTTTGTACAAGTGTTCAACTGAGAGCATCCCAGCAGCTTTCCACAGCAAAACTGCAATTTCACAATAATTTAGACCAATTTCTATTACAGCTGCTTTGGACCTTTTCAGTAAATTATTGATCCCGTAGCTGTGGTGCACAACAGCAATGAGAATTCATCCATGTATCTTTCAAAGATAGATGTCACATGGCTAAACATGGATGGATAGCTAATGACATCCCACCCTATGAGCATGGGACTCAAAATACCTCCAGTGTCTTTTAAAAAAAATTAAATAAGTCTATCTCACTCAATGCATTTAACAGTGCTGGTCCAGAAAGAGTCCTGATCTAAGGAGGCATAGGTTAAACCCCTTGCACTCAGAAGAAAAACAATTAAACTCTTTCTTTTACCCAACATTGTTCAAAATGGTGGAAAGTATTATCTTTGCATAAAAAGAGTATTTTGTCTCAGTAAATGAAAAGACATGGTGAACAGCTTGTTCTCTATCTGAAAGGTCATCTATTCATCCTCTTGCACGTCTTTTGGATGGTACAATGAGGCTATTAAAGTCGGAGGTTTCACAAACATTTGTTTGGAAACAGCTGAGCTTGGAGTCAACAAACACATTTTAGTTCTTTATTGAACTATGTGACTGCAGTGATCTTCACAAAGTCAAAGAGATGTTTACATCAGATTATTTCCCTAATTTCTTACTCTGTGTAGGTAATACCTGAGTTTCAGCAAAACGCAGCCATGTGTTCGGAAAAGAAATTAACTCCTTGTTGAAGCAAAACTGCGATATTATCAGTTAACTTCTCTAATTGTTCAAAGGAGTGTGACTTTATCATAAAAATTGGTGTTTAGCAAACGACTTTTATGTTTATTTTTATTACCTGATAATCTGCTTTCCAGATGTCTATTATTCCAGCATACCAAAGTGTTGGGATGGAGAGCAAGACTGCTTTGACTATAATGTCAGTTTCTTGCTTTTTTGTTTTATTTTCTCCCAAGAACTATGTTACAGACATTACTCATGCAATTCTCTCTCAAAAAAAAAAACCAAAAAAAACAAAAAAAAACCACACCAAAAAAACCCCCAAAAAACTACAACAAACCAAACAGTGATGGAAAGTCTGAAACTACGTTTGCTCAGGTAACTTACAATTAGTTTTAAGCCCTCTGTTCATGTCCTTCAAATCACAGTTTGGTTGCTAACAACCCCATCAAAACAAGGTATATCACTCAGCCCACTCAAAGCTGCATGTATGTATACATAGTGATTTCTTTTATCCTCTAAATGCAGAAGAAATGCTAAGAAGAAAAGTTAATAAATTATGTTTCCTACAGCTTGTGTATAGGCTAAATTTCTTCAAATTGCTTCTGAACATGTTTAGAAATTTAAACCCTAGAGGAATGTCTTGAACAAAAAAAATCTGGATTATACATGTGGTCCATTAATAGCACCACTCATCCATTAAATTACTTTAACAAGTAAGCAATGAAAGTGCTTTTGCAAGATTAAATATCTATTACCAGACGTCACCTAAAGACTTTACAGTAATATTCATATTTTAAAATGCCTGAACTAGCTTGTAGGTATTTCCCTGAAGTCCTACTGTTCACTGTAACTATCTTCTATATTTTCTTCCTAAATACCCTGTAATTTAAACTCATTCCAGAATAATTTTTCATGTCATAGCAGGAACACAAAACCTGAGGGTGTACTGATACCTCAAAAATAATTTGCTCAAAACAAACAACTGCACATTTGTCAGACACTTCTGGACATTAATATGTGTCCACAAATGATGATTTGCTGGTCTTAATCTACAAATGGAGAGAAAGGGTAACCGTGAGAGGATTTATTCATAGCATATTATTCATTCTGTTACTAATGGCCACTAAGAGCAGTAAATTTGAATGAGCAAGAGCTGTAAATGTACAAGTTGGGCAGACAATTATGAACAAAAGTCTTTCTGAGATTTTTCTGTTTAGTCACATTTGATTTAAGAGTTACAAGAGGCAATTCCAGTCAATTCATTTATAAATTACAGTTCCCCATATCCCCACTCAGAATGGCAGTGAAATGTATATCCCTTTTAAAATTTTACTCCGTGTACCACTTTCTGCCTAAATTTGTGACAATTTTTCCTATCATTCCTATAGAAAAAGTTTTTCTAATGTTTGTAGCAAACAGGGAGAATAAAATTCACACTAATAGCTGGAAGAGAAAAGACACTGGAAAGGAAATCCTGGCGCAAAAGCCTGTGATGCTACGATTTTTTTTTCTCTTCTTCATGAATTTTTTGTTTGAACTTTTTTTCCTAGCCATCAACCTAACTTTTCTTTGTTCCCCACAAATTTCCTTTTTTTGGCTAAGCAACTATTACTAAGTCTGGAGTTATATTGCAGCAATGGAATATTTCATTTCAAAGACAATGTCAAGCATTTTAAAGCTTCATTGAGACATGCAACAGAACCAGCATGAGTCCCTTGGCCTCCTGTTCTTGCAGCTTTTTGGGGGCAGCCTTAGGCAGTAATCTCAGCACACCAATTCTGTGCAAGTTCCATAGGCATAAAAATAATAAAAAAGCAGGTACTGTGCTTGTTTGTTATTAAACAATCAATTTGCACCAGCTTCTGCTGGGACAGTTTCTCCCAGGCTATGAGCCCCTCCTCCTCCCAAGTGAAATAAAGCACAGCTTTACCAGGAGCAGATAGTACTGCTTCTCCCATTCCTCTGCCATGGCCAAGTCCTTCTGCAAGGCACATTCAGGGTGGCTGAGGGGTAGAAAGAGCAGTACAGAGACACTCTCACCCATGTGAAACACACACAGAACATTTGCTTTCAGCTGGTTCCTGAAGGACACAGCAATACATCTTCATGAGAAGTTGCAACTATATTGTATAGATAGGGTGATGGCAGCCGACAACAACCATGGTGAATTTGGTGGGGAAGGAGAACCTAGGATCCCAGTAGCAGAAAATGATAAAATATTTAGATGAAGAACACATCATATATTCCCAGCTACTAAAAAAATAGGCAAGATTCCCTGCTGCTTTCTGTGTGCCTACCTACCTAACAGGAGAAACCCTTTCTCTCTGAGAAGACAGCTTGACAAATACCAACTCAAGGTGATAGTACAATTAAAAATGACAGGAGGAAAGAATGGGTTCGAACACCAAATCTGATTTTCCAACGGTTTCTTTTTTCTTTTCTCCACCCTGTTCTCTAGGCAGGCTATCAATTACTAAGGCTTATGACAGAAATTAATACAGATCTGGAAAGAAAAATAATCTGTGACACATATTTAACAAATCAGGACAGGCAGTACA